ACGGGATGGGGATAAAATAGACATTGAGATGGAAGGGCAAACACTAGGAGGGGAGGGGCGTTTGTAAAGGCTAGGACGATAGAAAGGAGGAAGCGAAGGCATGCAATATTCATTCACGGCATCACGCAGACACAACCGTGCGAGGCGGCGTGAAAAGCGAGTGAGGGTGAGAAAGATTGTAGAAGGAAGGAAGAGGGAAAATTATAGGATCGCCATGTATGGCGCCTCATCAACTATTCCCTCAGCACACGCTCCTCGAGTTCGTACCGCAAGGAAAGGCGACTCCTTGCTTCGCACGTTCTACAGCTTTCACGTCGAGTCCAACTTCATATTTATTATATATTTATCGTATAACTGCATTTTGCTCGATTCTTTCGGTCACGGACAACGCCGGTTTTTCGTCACACAACCACTTAAGCCCACACCGCAATTTCTGGGAAACGAGCTTCGTAACGCTACCACGTTAAAGAGTTGCAAGTGACCGCCCTTCATATCTATACGTTCTATCGTGTTTCGGTGGGTTTCAGCTGAACAGCGAGTACTTTCCTCTTAGTTTTTTCCTTTGTTTTGAGCGTCTGGTGGTGCGTTAAATTAAATCTACGATACATCCGGGGATGACCACTATGCAAAGGTACGCTGTTCATAGCACCGCAGAAGCCTATAATCAACGAATTCAACGGGATTGTAGAGACCGGGTAATGCCAGGCTGAATGACCCGCTTACACTTGCTCGTTTATAACATGGTTCAACTATAAAACGACGCGCGGACATTTTCTCGGTAATGAAACGACGTCTTGAAAGCACGCGCGTGTACTGAACGCAACAGCGACGAAAAGTCGACTAATCCTTCGACTCCTGTTTGCGTGCCGTTTACGTAACCGAGCGACCCAGCTCCCCGAAAGGTCGGCCGTTCAGAGCCTTTGCCTACATGGGGTGCGTAGCACAGCTACGCACTACGATGCTAATAAATATCAAAATGCTGTCTCCTTTCGTAAGAGTAGATTCGGAGGCTGTATGGAGTCCACGTATAGAGGCGCGGTAAAAGCTGGAACTCATTCGGCGGTGTACGGTTTCGTGCGCAAGAAAAATACGAGACTGTAGAAACTTTGCTAACCGCGTGTGTTGATGGGAGTGTCGGACCGACGCGCCGACGGGCGGCGCACACATTCTCGTCCTCCCGAGTCGATTGATTTCGTAACGAAGCTCTCTCTTAGCCAACCTCAGCGTCCGTCCAGTCGGTGAATGCCGCGGTGTCACCGAGGGATTGTGCAGTTGTGGTCGACGTCGTCATCGTCTGACCGCTATGCAGTGGTCGGACTCTTACGAAACCCGTTTCGCCGGGCAACTCGATACGAGATAGAAGAAAGAATATTGCGTTATTGTGAAGGCACAGTGCGTCAAGGTTATAATCTGTCTCGTAAGCTTAACTATAACTAGTGCAAGTGATGTTCGCTGTGTGACATATATGTGTAGTAAGCTTAATTGTAGCTACTACAATCAATTTTTGTTGAGCGACATGCGTAATAAGCTTAACTATAGCTAGCACAAATGACTGATTGATTGAGCTGTATAATCAATTGATTGTTTGACGGACTGATCAATTAGCTTGCGAAATAATTGATTGCACAATTGGTCGATTCATTGATTGATGGATTATTTGAATGATATTGATCTATTGGCTGAATAATTGATCTATTGATTGGTTATTTGAATGATTATTGATCTATTGGTTGGATAATTGAACTATTGATTGATTATTTGGATGATTATTGATCTGATGGCTGAATAATTGATCCATTGGCTGGTCGATTGACCGACCGACAGATTGATTGATTGATTGATTGATTGATTGATTGATTGATTGATTGATTGATTGATCAATTGATCAATCGATCGGCCGACCAACTGAATGTATCACCCCTGAATTACCCCACCCCCCTTCCCCTTGCTCTGAAAAAAAAACGAGTAGCTTTGGTCTGCGTGCCCCAGTTCCCGAGTATCGAAACGTCTCAGAGCTATCTGTTCTGCGTCCGCTTTCCCTTTTCCGGTGCGCTTGAGCAGGGACGCACCTCTTCCCAATGCGTACTGTCACTTCGGCTTTCTTTCGGTGCTCGTGCAGTGGAGCCCGTCGGCATCCGGAGTTGGGAAGTGTGTGCGAGCTTGAAATACGGCTCAAAGGCTTACGCGCAGAACGCAGAGAATACAGTGCCAGATCCCCCTCCTAAAATGAACTGCCTTATAAAGATCCACGTGATACGACGGTACGTGACCTGTCTACTGCACGGTCTGCCTCCCATAGCTACGCGTACAATGACGAACGAAATCCCCGTCTTCTCATACCATATATACCTATAGCATACGTATAACGTTCTACACGCATCCCAGCCCATTTCGTGTATCGCGGAGAAGAAGGTCTCCGCCGGCCATGCCTCCGTTCATGCAGCCCTCGCTGGCGCAGATATTTCTGGCTCGCGACGTGCACTGCAAGGACGACGACGCCGTTCCATGAACGCCACAACTCCGGCGTTCGCTCCATTTATTTCCGCGGCGAGCTCTCCCGAATTCCGTCTGCGAGTCACGTCATATCGGCCGCGATTCACGCGTGAACGGCCCACCGTGCGCGCACGTTTGCGTTTTCTCGGACGTATTACTACACAAGCGAGACATATACTGTTCTTTTTTTTTTCGCGTAGACTTTATCGTTGTATGGGCCCGTGGAGAGGATTATTTTGGTCCGCATTTTACACCTCGGCATTCGAACATCCGCCAGCGGGATAACGCACTCTCTACAAATGGTCAGCATAAATACTGAACGGAAATTTATCATCTTCCTACTACCTTTCTCTCTTCCTTTACCCCTCCCTCAGTACAGTGTAGCAAACAGAATATTTGGATGTTTCTTTTCTGGTTAACATCCCAATATTTATTTATTTATTTATTTGTTTGTTTATTTATTCATTTATGTATACATACATACTGCATTAAATCATGGGCTATGGCAGGAGTGGCGATCACATCACATGTCAAGCGCAGACAAAAAAAAACGGTCATTGGCAAAGCACGGACAAACCCAGGCAAAGCATTCGACTGCTCCGTTGTTGCAGGAAAGTAGCTATATTTACGCAAATCATTTCTAGAATTAAACGGCAGAAGATGGCGATTGTGCGAGCTACGAGTGCAGGAAGGTTGAGCAAACTGAAAGTACTGGATTAAGTGAACACACCGTGGGGACTCAGTCAAGGCATGCATGAACGTTATACTTTCCTTGTGGCGGCATGTTGCCTCAGAATAGGGTGAAAAGTGCCTATCGTAGCTACGGTGGCTTTTTTTTCAATACTTTTGTGCATCTGTCATTTGTAGTTCACGCATAAAAATGGCTGCAACACAGTGTGTGTGTGTGTGTGTGTGTGTGTGTGTGTGTGTGTGTGTGTGTGTGTGTGTGTGTGGTGTGTGTGTGTGTGTGTGTGTGTGTGTGTGTGTGCGTGTGTGTGTGCGTGCGTGTGTGTGTGCGTGTGTGTGTGCGTGTGCGTTGTGCGTGTGCGTGTGTGTGTGTGTGTGTGTGTGTGTGGTGTGTGTGTGTGTGTGTGTGTGTGTGTGTGTGTGTGTGTGTGTGTGTGTGTGTGTGTGTGTGTGTCGGATCAGTCCTGAATAAGCATACACAACGGCGAGATTCCCAAATTTCGCTGCAGTGCCAAGCCTTTTGTAACACTTTCGTCGAAAGCTGCAACTGGATGTTTGATAATAAAGACTATATTGATAAACCTGCTGCATCATCAGCCTTCGATACTTCTGCAACCTCGTTGCTTTGAATGCCAACATGCCGGTCTCATCTACCATACTAATAGAGAGCATAATATAATCATAATCATAATGAGACTCACTACGCCCTCTGCTGGGCAAAGGGCTCTTCTATGTTCCGCGAATCAGCCATCTCCTGTGTTTTCTATTGCCACGTTGTACCCGCAAACTTCTCAATCTTATCTGCCAATCTAACCTCCTGTCTCTGCCTCGCGTGTTTTCGTTACCTTAGAATCCACTCATCTATCCTCAATGACCAGCAGCTGTCCTGCCTATAGGCACTACGCGCCCGCCGCATGCTCATGCCTTTGTTTTGGTTTGGACAATGGTATCCTTTACACCCATTTGTTCCCTGACCCACCCATCGCTCACTGCGTCATCCTAAATTTAAGTTAAACACTCTTTCTAAGCCTCCAGGCTTCTGCTCCGGCAAGATGCACTTGTTGTATACCTTATTTTTGAGGAATGGTGGTACTAGTACTACCAGTCATGAAATATTAGACGTGCGAACATTTCGCAGGTGAATGTATCAGCTGCAAAATGTTTTGGTTAGGTTTTCCTTTTACTTGATATAAGCCAGGCATAGAGGGCTGTAGAGCTGGACTTGTTGTTGGTTCAGCATGACTAAGCGCAATCGACCAGAGGGAACACAAGAGATTGGTTGATTGATATGTGGGGTTTAACGTCCCAAAGCCACCATATATATTTATGATAGACGCCGTAGTGGAGGACTCCGAAAATTTCGACCACCTGGGGTTCTTTAACGTGCGCCTAAATCTGAGCACACGGTCCTAGGGCATTTTCGCCTCCATCGAAAATGCAGCGGCGCCAAAGCCGGGATTCGATCCCTCGACCTGCGGGTCAGTAGCCCGAGTACCTTACCCACTAGACCACAGCGGCGAGGGGAACAGAAGAGAGGAGACAGCGCTGTGTCCTCTGTTATGTCCCCTCTACTACCAGTGATTGACATTTCTGACTCCCATTGACAGACTAGTGACGTGCATTAACATTGTTTCCTAGCTAGTCCACTTATTATATGGCCAGCCTTATGAATGGTGCTCATTTTAGTGTTTCTTTTGTCACGCAGTTTATTCACGTTCGCATAGTTCCCTACACTTTTATCAATAAACTGCACTGTACACATCACAACCTCACATTTCGCCCACCGACTCGCCCTATTTCTCCATATATCCTTGACGCAGGCGAACGCGTGCCCATCGTGCTGGTCGGAAACAAGTCGGACCTGATCTCCAACCGCCAGGTGTCCCAGGACATGGCCATGAAGCTGGCCCAGGAGAGCATGCACAACTGCCGCTACCTCGAGACGAGCGCAAAGTACAACGTCAACGTGGCCGCGCTGTTCGTCGAGCTGCTCCAACAAGCGTGCGCAATGGAGCGACAGCAGCCGCCGGCCGCCCTGTCTTCGTCGTCTCCAGGAGGCGGCGGCGCTGGAAGCGGTCGCTCGCTGTCCATGCAGGACCGACCACCGGATTCACCGCTGCTCCAACCGAACAAGTCCACCTCGCGTCGGCTCTCTCACCGGCTCAGCTCGCTGGGCAGTCTGCCCAGCATGCGGCGCAAGTCCAGCGCCGCGTCCACGACGGGGGGCTGCGGTGCGGGAACGTGTCCCTCGCCTTCGACCCCGAGAAGCCGAAAGGCGTCTAGACAAGTCGAGTCGTCGTCCTCAGCGGCCGCGGCTAACAACGACGGCGTACAGGACCCGGACCAGAAGTGCCACATTTTATGAACCGCTCTTCTATATATCCATGCCCATCACATTGGGTGTACGGTGAGGTCGCAAGGGTTCACGGGACCGGATAATCCACCTTTTTCATATTCCCGCACTGCCCTCCGCCGCTTTGGTGCGGGCCGCTACAACCGGTATTGCCGGGACGAAGGCCTCCGAGATCAAGAGGCGTTTCACGGCTCTTGCGTTAGGTAAAGGGCACATGCGTCGTGGCATCGTGAAAAGGGTGGATCGCGGAGAATCGGACCTCCCCTGCCGAAGACTCTTTGGGCACGTAGTTTCGGATTCAAAGTTTGATGTGTAGAACAGGCTGAACCTAAATTGGGTCGAGTATATATAGCTTTCGTTCACTACTCACCCAACGCGAAGTACTTAGGCAGAAGGGTGGCACTGCAACATCGCGTTGTTTGTTGCGTCTTCCCTCAGCCTAATTACTTTTCGCTGTATGAGTAATTTATTGCAATTTGTTTTCAACCTACACTACGACACGTTAAATCAGTAGTGTCCCGTTGGGAAAGGGCAAGAAATTCGTACTTGTCGTGAAAACCGTGTCCCGTAAAATGTTGTGGCCAACTGTACGTGTTCATTCCCGCTCACATTTATAGCTCTCGCTCCCCCCTTTCTGTCTCTCTGTATGTGTTTTCTCATTTTTCTGCTTGGCAGAACTGTAATGCATGCCCCCCCCCCCTCTCGTTATTAATGGAAACAGTCGTACCGAAACACGCAAGTAGCGAGAAGGTTCATCAAAGGCTATAGAATGCGGGGGCGCCAGCTATTAGATCGAAAGCCATGTTTAACTATATATACACGTCTCATATCCCGTGTCGAAAGGTTGTGAGGTCGTCTCCGCATGCAACCGTCACAATTACCGAGGGCCGCTTAGGTATGTGGCCTTCGATAGCGCAACAATCGGCACACCGAAAGCACAGCAAAAGAAAAGCTCTTAACTTGTCCCTGCTAACGTGAGATATATGTAGCGTTTTGAGCACTGTAGTGTCACTGAGCACAGGGGCTGGCTCACAGGGTCAACCGCGCAGCAGACGCTGAACTCGCGCGGTAACCATGGACACGTCATAACATATATATTCTTACAACGTGGCCATAGATGAGAGAGTTCCAATTGACTCTATAGTCTTTCACGCAGCAACCGCACGAAGCATGTACAGTTCTCACGGAATCGCTGCGACGGCCACGAAGTACAGGTACACACTCGGGCGGATCGTATTTCGCAATGTTGCCCCCTTTCACTGGAAGCAAACGCATTCACCTCAATAACCCGCCTCGAAATAGACCTGGCGTCGCAGCGTCGATCGATGATACGCTCGAAATACGCTTCGTGTGGCTTGGTGCTCGAGATCAGACATCACATGCCGCTGCACATACTCTCGTTCTGCCTCATGGACATCGTAGACATTGGAGAGCGCACGTGTGGAAGGGGCCGGGGGTGAGGATGCCACCCCCTCCTTTTCATCCGACTGTGGCGCCAAGCCGACCCCATTCCTTTTGTCGATAGGACTTGTCCAGCGATTGTTTAACACACGGGGTTATGGCTACGCAGATTTTTGACGAGAGTGGCCGCCGAAGACCGTTGATGTTGGAATTTTGGAACGCTTTACTTGCTAGTGTTAAAACCAGAAATTCGCGCGCCGCGGTGCAAAGGCAGGCTACCGTTGCGAAGCATGTCATTCCTTTATTTATATTATTACGTCTACAGGGTAGTTTTTTTTTTCTATGTCAGACGTACGAGGGGGGGGGGGGGGCGCTGCAATGAAACGCTTCCCCTCTTACCCCCCTTCCCTCCTGCCCTCATGGAGGATCCTGAGCATGTCTATGATCATTTATTTACTTGAAGCTACACAGCCAGCACAAGAACGTCATAGATAACGTTTAGAATGTTGGGGTACCGAATGGCTACTTCCATTCGAACTGTGGCGCCATTTAGGTAGGCTGGTTCTCGATCTGAAATTACCCGGCTCGGAGAAAAGGGTTACCGCGTCGCAAAGTGCCCCCTTCCCAAGCGCGTTAATGCGCTATTTCGCTTCCCTCTCGCTTGACATATGACACACCATATTGCTATGTGTGGCACAGGTATCGGCTTGCCACCAACATAGCGTTATTGATGATATATCGCAGACACCGAGCACCCTGCCTTCACGATGATGCTTGCTTTAGTGTGACAGTTTTTATTCCGTTTTCTTTCTTTTTTGCTTCCTTGACGTTTCGTTGTTTATGACAAGCCCAGGCGTTCTCACATACACTGTACAAGCACCACGTACGTTGCGTGATTACCGGTACAACAACGACTCCATGTGAGGTTTCGTGAGCCGATAAACCTACGCGAGCGCCCTCATTTCTCTCGCATTCCACACAAGCTAAGCGAACCCGCGCTAATCGAACGATGTGCACCAACATCAGTGTGCATGCACTGAACGAGGTTTACTGAACAGACTAACGTCCGTACATGTTTTACGATTCTCGCAGCAGAGAGGTGTATACTCGCAAGCTATAGGCGTCGGAACGTAATTTATGATCATACAGTGCACGGGTGGCGCGTGGTTTAATTGTTCATCGTTTCTGTATGCACACTTGGCGTCCCAACGCGAATGGTGTAGCTGCCCACCGATCACTGTATTATTTCTTCCACTATCGCACCAGTTGTTCGCGCCACGCGTGAACAACGAGACATACGTTTTTACGCAAGTTTATGCGCAGGCCGAAAATTGCCCGAGAGAGGCTCGCAAGTAACGTTGCTGGCACTCTTTATATGCTAATTGCATACGCAATTAGCGTTTGTGCAACGGCCCTTTTTTTCCTATCTGTGTTTACGTTTTACTGCTCTGCACTGCAAGCATATCAACGGTGAAAAGGACCACCTCCTTTCTGGGCTGTTGGAAGCGAGTACAAAAAGTGCTGACGTCATGACCTCGACAGTGCTTTTTTGTGTGTGTTCACGCATATTAACAACACTCCCGAGATGATTATGGTAGTACCCAGGGAGCCATCACTGACAAGTTGCACACATACATTGCGGGAAAAAAAAAGAATAACAAGTTGAGGCTAAAGCAGATGGAACGTTTGCACGTCCAATAAAGCGAAACGTGAACTTCAGAAAGGAACGCAGAACCCCGCGACGTTCCTGAAACGATTCCACTTGTCAGCAGACTAAATAACGTCCCAACTCCTGAAGACAGTTGTTAGATGGCGGTGCGATGAAGCATCATTGCCCTGCTTATTAACCAAACTGTATTACCAGTTACGACGTTCCAGTATGTGTAACAGGGGCGCATTTGAGCTTCATTGAAATGGTATACGTAAGGATAGTAAATATTGACCATTCCCCGCGAGTCCCCGCGGACATTCTCGGTAGTCTGTGACACCTGGCGCCATTCGCGGAATAAGCGGGCACTGTCCATGTGGTGCATTTTATTCTTGTTTTTTTAATTATTGTTAGTATATAACATTACAATTCCATCAACGCGCCTGACAAGCGGACTGAAAATTCCTAATGTTATTGCGCAAGCTCTTGTAGCATTATTAAAGGGACACAGAAGAGAAACGATGAGTTGTTTTAGAGTGATGGCCTGCACTCTGAGAACTGTAATGTCATAAGTGTCCTCGTCATAAGTTCATTATTAGCGGAGAAAATCAAGGTGGAAGTTTCATTTCTGAATTCGCGCCGCAACCTCTGTGCGTTGTTTAAGATTTTACACGACGTTACTTTTCGTATTTTCTCGGCATCGGTTCGATGATATTTTCCCGGACTTCACATGCTAAGTCTACGGCACCCACATATTACAATGTACTTCAATGTTATTGATTACAAGCTACGTAACAGCCAGCAGACGCATTCAAAAAATGATGACCTCACAGTGTTTGGTGCGGGAGAGTCAAGGTGGCGTCTTCCACCGCAGTTTCGTTTCGTGCGTTTACCAAGTGTCGTGTCATGGTAAGAGTAGTGTTTTCGGGATCGTGAAATTGTACTTCACTAATACGCGAAAAAGTGTTTTGCCTTTAGAGTTTCTTTAAGAACACTTTCAATCAGCAGAAATGATTGAAGCAAGAGTGGGATTCAGCAGTAGCAGCTGGAGGCGTCCCCGCTGGTTTTAATATGTAAAGCTACCAAAATTATGGTTACAGACAAGCTTTTATGAGGGCATAAACTATGACTTGTTTCATCTCTCCATTCTCAGTAACGATGGAGTAAGATGGCTACAAAATTCTACACAATGCAAACATATTGAGGCCAAACAAAACTTTCAAAACAACAAGGGGCATTTTCATATATATCCCTTTTTATCAGTGTTTCCCTGATGACTGTTTTTTTTTTTACGAAAAACTCACTTTACTGCGAAAAGCTCAAGTAAGTAGAGAAACAGAAAACTGAAAAAAGAAACTAACGTGTTTCCTTTCTCTGGGTGTAGGTAATCTTTTTGTCAACGCCGTGTGTATCTCACCGTCCAATCCACGTACATGCTCAAGATCATTGTGCCGTTGAAACACAACGTTATTTAGTTCGCCTTGTTCGTATATTATAGTAACAAAACCGATAGTTCATTACTTTTACCTACAAATCGCAAGAATGAAAATGAACATGAAATCCACGAAGAAAATACAGGAGAGGGGATTCGTGGCGACTGTCATCTGGGCGCTGTCATCTTGAACTGTCAAGAAGATAATTTTTTGTTCTGTTTTTGTATATTGCGACATGAATTAATAAGACCAATGAGACATTGTAGGCACCAACCGTGCCATTTCTATGCGTGTGCGTCCCGCAACACAGTTCGCTTAGTTATTAATGATTCTAAACACAAAGGTTAATGGCCCACTATGGAGGCACCCATTCTATATACCCGTAAAATAGTCAATAAGCTAAAGGAACCGCACAGAGCCACTATAGGTGTGACATCTCCAGACTTCTCAAGTTGTATCTGACAATAGCTGCGCTTTTAGAGTACTCGCCCTGCCCACACTAAGCTCAGGCGATGTAACTTAATCTATAA